ATTGGCGGGTGTGGTGGCAGGTACCTGTAATCCCAGCTCCTTGGGAGGCTGAGGCAGGAGAATTGCTTGAGCCCGGGAGGTCAAGACCAGCCTGGGCAACACAGTAAGACCCTGTCTCTACAAAAAGTAAAATTAAACAGGTGTGGTGACGTGCACCTGTGGTCCCAGCTACTCGGGAGGCCAAGGTGGGAGGATTGCCTGAGCCTAAGAGGTTGAGGTTGCAGTGAGCTGAGATTGCACCACTGCACTCTAGCCTGGGTGATGGAGTAAGACCCTATCTTAAAAAAAATTAAAAAAAAAAAAAAGAAAAAAAAAAAGAAACTGACATTAAAGAGTATTAAATCTCAGGAATGATTTTAGTATACCAGGTGAATTGTGTAGCTGTTTCCTTCTTTACCATCTGAACCTTATCCACCCATTGATACTTTCTCCCTTTTTTCTCTGGGCTTATTTATTTTGATTCATTTCTTCTCTTTTCTTTTTAGATTTGAATATGGAACATTTTTAACAGTATGCTAAAGAGATGTGCAAAGTGAACCCACATGTCCCCATTTATCTTCAACAGTGATTAATTTCTGGCTAATCTTATTTCATTTGTTCCCTCCTTATTAGAATTATTTCGAAGCAGATTTCAGACATTGTATAATTTCATCTGTAAAAATTTCAGTGTTTCTGTTAAAAAGAAAGGTCTTGTTTTTTAAACATAACCACAGTCAGTCCTAAATACATTCTCCAATATCATCAAACATCCAGTCAGTGTTTAAAATTTCCCCATTGTCTCTATTTATTTATTTATTTTGCTTAATTTATTTATAGTTGTAGTGTTCCTTTGTGGTCTTTTAATTAATAGATGCACTCTCCCTCTATCTTTACCCCCTCCTCCCATCATTTTACTTTTTTAAAGAAATTGGATCATTGAAAACCAATTTGGATTTTTCTGAATGTTGCTGTGATGTTTAACCTATTCCTCTGTTCCCTCTGTTTTCTCTCTGTGAGATTAGTAGCAAATGATGATTACTGCCTAAATCCATCAGGTGATCAGAGATTACAAATCTCTTTCATGTTTTTTTTTGTTGTTGTTGTTTATTAGCTGACATATACTTCCATAAAAGAAATTTTGCTTCATCACCTTTTTTTTGTTACTCCGAGATACAGATTGCGCAGGAAAGGCAGGGTAGACACAGTATTCTTTCCTTTTATTTACAGATGCTCAAAGTGTTGAGATAGTGGGGTTTAAAAATCATTTTCTAAAGATAATTAGTACTTTTAGGTATCATTAATGAACTCTGTTTTTAATCATTATGAACTGTGTTCATAACTCTGTAGTTACTTTCTTGTTGACGCTCATGTTCTTCCATCTTTGTTACTGAGAGCTTATTCGAGTTGTCTCCTGAGTTCTTTTGGCACAAGCCTAAAGTAGCCTTGGGTCTTTCTACATTTTTTTGGTGTGGCTAGTTACAATAAATTTATCTTATACATTTCCTGCCCTGAAATCAGCAGTCTCTCAAAGAAGTATTAGTTTCTTTTTAGTGGGAAATGGTATTTAGAGACAAAAGTCTGGATGCTAGGTGTGCTTATTGTTCTAGATCTTTTAGTGTTCACTGATACTTTATTGCCATGTTCTTCAAACCATGTATTAAAAGTCTCATGCTTTTATCTCTTTATTTTTATATTTGATTTGTGCTAAATTATAGACTTTTGATTAGAAACCCTTCAAAACACTGCTCAAATTAAGGGCCTTTAAGTACATTTATCTACATGGAAAGATATTAATTTATGTGCTATCTCACTATTGCTCAGAATGCCTGTTGTAAACATTACTGATCTGGGGAGCTTCAGTTCGCCATAGGAGAAGAATATAATATTATATAGTCTTTTCCTTTTACTAAACCCTACATTCTTTGCAAAGATTCAGAAAGTCCAAAGTTGCAAAGATTCAGAAAGTGCAAAGTTAGTTGTGATAGCACTTCAAAAATATATATAATAAAAAGAAAGCAAATCTGGATAGAACTGCATATCTAGATTTGTAAATCAAATAATAATGTTCTTGTTTGTGGAAGAGTGTAGGCATTGAGATAAAAACATAAAGGGAAGGGGGATGGAGCAGTTTTTGTATACTTCTGAAATAAAGTAGATATTTAAATTTGATTGTTACAAAGTGGAGATGTTAATTCTAATCCCCAGGGTAAACACTATAAAAAAAAAGTTACACACACACACATATACACACACACACACACAAGAAAGGAGAAGGGGATCAAAATTTTATACCAGAAAAGTCAATTAATTACCAAAAAAGTCAGTAATCAATTAAAGAAGAAATAGAAAATAGCAAAATGGATTAATTAATTTTTTAAAAGTTAGTAATTACTTAAAATATAAATGCATTAAACTGCCCAGGTAAAAGGCAGAGGTTGACAGAACGAATTTTTAAAAATGTGATGCTACAAGAGATTCACTTTAGATCCAGAGACACAATAAGTTGAAAGTGAAGGATGGGAAGAGATTCCATGCAAATAGTAACCAAAAGAGAGCTGGGGTGGTTATACTATGAGACAAAATAAACTGTAAGTTAAGAATTGTTACAAGAGACAAAGAAGGAGATTATATATTGATAAACAGCCAATCCATCATGAAGATATTATAGACATATATGCTCCAAACAACAGAGCCCCCAATGAATGAAGCAAAAATGGACAGAACTGAAGGAAGAAATAGATACTTCTAAAATAATAGTTGGAGACTTTAATTGATAGAACAACTAGACAGAAGATCAGAAAGGAAACTGAATACTTGAGCAACACTATAAAACAACTAGACCTAACAGACTTATATAGAACACTCCACCCAAGAACAGTGGAATATATATTTTTCTCAATGGTATATGGAACATTATCCTAGGTAGACCATATGTTAGGCCACAAAACAAGCCTCAATAACATTTTAGAAGATTGAAATTATTCAAAAAATTGTCTGTGGTCATAATGGAATGAAACTAGCTATGAATAACAAAAGGAAACCTGGGAAATTCACAAGTATGTGGAAATTAAACAACATACTCTTTATTTTATTTTATTTTTTTGAGATGGAGTCTCGCTCTGTCACCCAGGCTGGAGTGCAGTGGCATAGTCTTGGTTCACTGCAAGCTCTGTCTCCTGGGTTCACACCATTCTCCTGCCTCAGCCTCCCCAGTAGCTGGGACTACAGGCGCCTGCCACCATGCCTCGCTAATTTTTTTGTATTTTTAGTAGAGACGGTGTTTCACCGTGTTAGCCAGGATGATCTCGATCTCCTGACTTTGTGATCCGCCTGCCTCGGCCTCCCAAAGTGCTAGGATTACAGGTGTGAGCCACCGCATCCAACCTAAAACAACATACTCTTAAACAACCAATGGGCCAAAGAAGAAATTACAAACGAAATTAGAAAACACTTTGAGGTGAAGGAAAATGAAAATACAACATACCTAAACCTTTAGAATGCAGTGAAAATGGGGAAATTTACAGCTGTAAATGCATACATTAAAAAAGATTCAAATAACTAAAATTGAAAATGAAATTGTTGACTTTACTACAGACCTCACAGAAATAAAAAGGATTAAAGGAGAATACTATGACCAATTTATGCCAAAAAATTATATGACATGGATTAAATAAATGATTTCCTAGAAATATACAAACTACCAAATGGACCCAAGAAGTAATAAAAAATTTGAACATATTTGTAACACATAAAAAGATTGATTCAGTAATTTAAAAAAATCTGACAATGAAAAGCACAGGACCAGATGGCTTCACTGGTGAATTATATCAGTCATTTAAAGAATTAACACCAGTGCTTCTCAAACTTGTCCAAAAAATAAAGAGGAGTGAACACTTCCTAACTCATTCTATGAGGCTAGTTTTGATACCAAAGCCAGATAAAGATAACACAGGAAAACAGTAGACCAATATCCCTTATGAATGAATATACATGCAAAAATTCTCAACAGAATTCTAGCACATTGAATGCAGCAGCATATTAAGAGGATTATGCATCATGGTAATTATGTTTTAGCTGGTAGCATCTATCAGCTTTTGTCTCTTACTTCTGTTGCTGTTATAAATCCCTCCAAAACTTAAGGCCCACAGTGATACACCTAATATTATTCCCTTTTTAAAGAGCAGCTCTTCTGATGCACACATCGTGATATTTTATCTGTAAATACTTTAGAATATAACTCCTAAGAACAAGGATACTCTTTTTGAAATTTTTCTTATATATATTTTGAGACAGAGTCCCTCTCTGTTGCTCAGGCTGGAGTGCAGTGGTGTGATCTCAGCTCACTGCAACCCCAGCCTCCCAGGCTCAAGCAATTCTCATGCCTCAGCCTCTCAAGTAGCTGGGATCACAGGCATGCACCACCATACCCAGCTAAATTTTGTATTTTTATTAGAGACGGGGTTTTGTCATGTTAGCCAGGCTGGTCTTGAACTCCTGGCCTCAAGTGATCTGTCCACCTTGGTTTCCCAAAGTACTGGGTTTACAGGCATGAGCCACCACACCCAGCCCAAGGATATTCTTTTACATAATTATGGTACCATTATCATTCCTAAGAAATGTAACATTATTAACATCAAGTATTGTTTATATTCAGATTCTCTCAGTTGTCCCTGCAATATTTTTTGTGTTTCTTATTTACTTGATAAATAAAAATTGTACATATTTATGGGGTACATAAATGTGATATGGTATTTTGATATGTATACATTGTGGAATGGTTAAGCCAAGCTAATTAACATACATGCCACTTTGCCATTAATCAGGCTGATTAACTTATACACATATCCACTTACATCTTTTTTCTATGGTCAGAGTCAGTAATATTTTTATAGCAGATATTTCTTGATTCACAATCAAATAAAAGATCATGTATTGTTTTTCATTGTCATTTCTTGTTATTCTCCTGTAATTTAGAACAGTTTCTCTAGCCCCTTTTTAAAGTTTCAGAGTCCAGGTTGGTTGTTCCATAGAATATCTCAGAATCTGGATTTGTGTGATTATTTCCTTGTTACTAGATTGAAGTTAAACAGTTTTGGCAAGGGTATTACACAGGTGATGTTCCTTTGAATAGCATTACATCAGGAGGTCCACTGTGTCAATTTGTCCTATTATTGGTGGTGCCAATCAAGTTTGATCACTTGGGTAAGGTAGTAGGTAATCTATAGGATGATACATTAAGACTCTACTCACCCTTTTACTCTTTTATTTCATTTTCCTTGCCTGGGTCAGTGAACGTATTGTATTATCTATTACTATTATTTTTCTTTTTAATACTCAACTTTTCTCAAATTTTACCAGTCAGAACTCCAGGTCCTTATAAATCTGCTCCCTCAGTGTTTGAACCCTTACTGGCTCTTTTTAATCACACATCCTTCTGGGGTCACCTTGCACTTTTCCCCAACCCTGGACTCAGCTGTTTCTCCATGGATCTCTTCTTCCTTTTAGTGAGAAATAGTATATTTAGAAATAAAGTTTGTGAATACTAGAGGGTTATATCATCTAGATTTTTTCAGTGGACAGATTTAGGAACCCATCAATCCATCCATCCATCCATTTTGAGTTTATAATCATAGTTCAGTGTTATTTTTTAAAGTAAATATTGGCATATTTGAAGCTTTATTTAGCCTGTAGAAGAAAACTAGAATACCACTTTTTTGAGGAGTCTTTAAAAATTTCTAATAGTGAAAAAATTTGAGTTGCTTGTGGTAAATAACTCAGCTTTTCTTGGAGTTACAGATCTATGGCATTGATTATTTTTGATTAATGAGCTTTTATCTGTTAATGTAGTTTTGGGGCAGTGCCGTGACAATGTTGAGCCAAAAAAGTTGCCAATCACTGAAGAGGAGCAGATTTACCCTTGGGATACCTGTGCAGCCGTTCATGACGTGCGGCTTTCATTATTACAGCGTTATTTTAAGGATGTAAGTACTCTTTATAAAATAGTACTTTTGTCTGCCAAGTTGATGGTTGGTTATTTCCCTCTAGAATTTTATATGTCTTTTACCAAAATGGCATTCTGATGTTAAATTTGAAAGTTTATTCGAAAAAAATTAATATGTGGATAGAAAGAAATGGAAATCTGTTAATAAACATTTCAGATAATAAATGTGATACCTTTGTTTTAAATGTTGTTTATTGTGTGATACACACATTCAATTAAGTGGAATGATGAGTACAGCAGATCCTTAAATAATGATGTTTCTTTCAACATTGTTTTGTTATAATGTTGATGAGAAAAAAATTCCCTACCGGGGCCACTGTCAGTGTGGAATTTGTGTGTTCTCCCCATGTCTTTATGGGTTTTGTCTGGGTATTCCAGTTCTTCCTACTTCCCAAAGATGTGCTGCACATTAGGTTAATTGGCATGTCTAAATTGTCCTGGTATGAGTGAGTATGGGTGCGGATGTGAGTATGTCCTGCCATGGGATGGTGTCCTGCCCAGGGTCAATTCCTGCCTTGTGCTCTGAGCTGCGGGATTAGGCTCCAGCCACCTATGACTGTGAACTAGAATAAGTAGGTTGGAAAATGAATGAAATAATGAAAACGTATTTTTTTAAAAATTTATAAATTTACAAAGTGTATGATAAAGTAAAAATTTATAAAGCATATGATAATTATACAACTGCATAATAACGACTTGGTATGAAAGGGCTTAGTGAACCTGCATATTTGTTATTGTTTGTTTTTAAATTGCATGGTAATAGGAAGTACTCTTTAACGATTTTCACTTTGCAAACACTTATTCCTTAATTTAACCCATCACCACTACTACTCACAGTACTCATTGTTTTGTTAAAAACTGGGTAAATCGTTTTCTTGTTTCTATTAACCTTTCTCAGATACTCTGCATTCATTTCAGTGTTTCATATTAGAAATGTTTTGGGTCTTTAGAAGTTATGATGATGTTTTTGTAATCAGAAATATACTATAGGAATTTAACTCTTGTTTATATCAGTTAGCCTATGGTTAAATAGTTTTGTTCCACATAATTTGCTTAAAGTCACACTTTCCAAGAACCTATTGATAACATTAAGTGAGGACTTAATGTATTAACTCTTTGGAAACTTTTATTATGGTGGGAATATTGTATGAAGATTTTTGCCTCCCTCTTTTACTTTCATTTAAAGATATGTAATAAAATTACATTATGATACTTTTAAAATGTAAAGTAAGGATGGATTTGATTCATATCTGCTATGACTTCTTATAAACTTGGTAGTTTTTTTCAGTGTTTTGCATTTAGGGATTCTGGAACTCATAAGTATCTGAAGGCTTTCAAGATAAACTTTAGTAGCAGCAGCATTGTTAACGTCTTTTTAAAATTTCTGTATTCCTTTTGATGTTTCCTGAGTGGATTATCAAATGGGGTTTCCTTTCTCCTGTTGTAGTTTTTTAAATCTACTGTGTCTTGAATTAAATAAAGATAAGATATAAGCTTAAAATATAAAGTAAAACATTTTTAGTTAACTGTATGAGATGATTATATGGATAGATTTCCAAATAGAACTTTCTTGCCCATAAATCCATTGAAGTGGAAGAAATTAGTAAGATAAGTGGAAGACAGAATACATAATCAGAATAAATAAGAACTGACCTAGTGATGGTAAGAGCCAGAGTAGAGTCTGGTTCCTTAATATGCTAGACTGACAAGAAGGTTTCTGGTGACTTCTACAGGAGCTGATGGACCTACAGGGAGGTATTGTGTAGATCAGAAAGAATCCTAGACCAGAAAAACTGGGTTTGGTCCTGATTCTGCCATTTCTGAGCAATGTGAGCTTGGCCAAATCCCTTAAGTGGCCTGAGACTCAATTTCCTCATCTGTAAAATAGGGCTGATAATGATCTTTCATGCAGTAATCACCAGGTTAGAGTTCACTCTGCATATAGGTCACCCTGCATATAATACAGGTCAATATAAATGTAAAGTGATGTTTTAAATATTCAAGCTATCCCATTTAGGAAGGCTAGGTTAGGCGTGTTAGGCAGTTTGGGTTAGGTAATAAGGGTCATGCTTCCATATATTTTCAGAGACTTTAAAATGAAATTATGGTTATTTTGTAGCAGTATCTGTATGTGCATGTGTATAAATACATGTATGTGCGCACACATACATATTTTCACACTTTGTTCTTTATTGCTTTGGACTTTTTTTTTTTGAGATGGCGTCTCACTGTGTCTCCAGGCTGGAGTGCAGTGGTGCGATCTCGGCTCACTGCAACCTCTGTCTCCTGGGGCCTGTGTTCAAATGATTCCCCTGCCTCAGCCTACTGAGTAGCTGGGACTACAGGTGCCCGCCACCACACCCGGCTAATTTTTTATATTTTTAGTAGAGACAGGATTTCACCATGTTGGCCAGTATGGTCTCGATCTCCTGACCTTGTGATCCGCCCGCTTTGGCCTCCCAAAGTGTTGGGATTACAGGCGTGAGCCACTGCACCTGGCTTGCTTTGGATTTTTTTTTACAGGATACATATATTACTTTATTAATCAGAGACCAATAAATATTTTATTTTCAAGAAAAATTGGGAAATGATGCTAAGTTCTGCTTTTGCAGAAATTTACTGCCACCTTATTTAGACTTTATTTTCTTGTCATAATGACACAGGATTCTTTTGGTGCCACTTCACTAGGTGGCACCTCTGCCTGGGCTTCACTAGGGCCCACTGGGCTCACTCTACCCAGGCTGGCTGGCGGGCCATGCTTAGCTCGCTCCGTAGTCTGGATCCCTCAACCATTGCAGCTCCAAGCTCTGCCTGTGGTGGGGCTAGGTGTGCTGCAAGCAGCTTCTGTGGCTGGGTGCCAGCATTCAAATGATGGGGATGCAGTGGCACCCAAAAACTCAGAGACACCAGCAACCGCAGAGCCCCAAGGGAGTGCCACAGCTTCTGCTTGGGGAGTGCCGAGGTCTGGGCCCCCAGAAGGGTTGCAGCTCTTCACTCCCATAGTCCAGTGAATGGGAGCGTGTCACAACTCTTTTCATTCCTGCTACCCACAGCTCTGTGAGCCGGCCAGGAATGTGTTACAGCCCTTTTTGCCCCTGGCATTTGGTGGGTAGGTTCTTGTCCCACAACCAAGAAGAATGAAGTACATGGACACCAGAGAGTGAGCAAGGCAGAGAAGAATTTTATCAAGTGACAGGAAAGATCTCAACAACAAGAGAGGAGGCCTGAAAACGCGTAGCTGCCTGTGTGACTGAGTCTGTGGTTTTTATGGTCTCAGAATGGGGGAGTGTGTGCTGAATGGTCCATGCGTGGACCTGATAAAAGCAGCACTATTTGATTGGCTATAAGGCTTCGAGGAAGTTCTCACTCCAGTCATGGACTCTACCTGAAACTGCAACTGGTTTTCAGGCTTTAAATTGTCTGTGGTTTGAAGGTTGGATTTCACCAGGGACCTGGCCCTGTCTACCTAGGAATTTGTCTGTCTCCTGCCACTATCAATAATCCTGGTTTTAATTTTTATCATTTTTAATTACTTTAGAGTAAACAGGTAAAGATGAATCCCAACACCAAATAGAAAACTTAAAAAAAAAATCAATCAAAATAAACCTAGACCTAAGAGCATCATAATTTTGAGGAAAGAGATGATCTAATAAATGGGAGCAAAAAGGGAGGGTATCTCTTTTTTGCAGCCAGAGTAATTATTCATTTCTAGAAAAAAACATTTTTAATAAAAAGTCTCTGAGCTGAAATCTGAGTTGGATTATACTCTGTTGTGTTTCTGTTAGTGATTGTGAGATTTGTATTCCTACATCATTACTTTTGTATGCTTTTATAAGACCTGTTTGATGTATATATGGCATATTCCCTAGACTGCATACCTCTGAAGGTCCAGAGCTGTGCCTCATGTTGATTCAGAGGCTAGCACATGCTATGTGTGTTGTAGATGCTTACTGGGTTTCTTCCTGAATTACTCTAAACATAAGAGTACCAGAGTGGTAGCTGGACCAGACTGTATAGAGCAGAAGAATGACCATCAGTAGGCACTGATATTGATTATAGGATTAGACTGTAGATTCTACTGTCTTCAGATTAAATGCATGCATTTTACAGAATTAACATGTAGAATATTAGTTATGTAAGACAGTGCATTCACTGTAGAAACTGGAAGTGTAACACATGGGAAATATGACACAACAGAGAGAAGGAACCTGATCTTTGGAGTTAGATAGACTTGGATTTGAACTTATTACTTAGTGATCTTACTAAAGTTATCATTCCTCTCTTGTAAAAAGGGGTAACTCCAGCTACTGTATTAGGTTTTAGTAATTATTGAGGTTGTGACATTTCAGTGTTAGGCACTTAGCACAGTGGTGGATACTTGAGGTCTCCCTAAAATACTAGTCTCACATTATTAAATGTTACCCTGCATTTTTTGACTGTCAAACTCAAACATCTAAAAGTTGTATAGACAAATGATTCATTGTTTCCAGTTTTAAAAGCTAACCATACAGATTAATTGCCTTTTTGTAGTATAGTGCCAAAGAGAGCAACTGGTTTATTAACTGACTACCAATCATTCTAAATGATCTAACACCAAAATCTGCTTCAATTTCAAGCAGCTCCAAAATGTAAAACAAGGATGAGCAGGGCTCCTGTTGTTTTTCTCATTTGTAACAGAAGCCTGCTAATCAGCTGTATTTGATTTATGCTGCTTCACATCTTTAAATTGGCTGGGAAGTCATTTTGTACTATGTAATACACAGTCCTTTCAACTTTAGATACTCATGAAGAGTCTTGATTTAATATCGGAACTTTACTGTCATTTAAAGATCATTGGTCATCTTACATTATAAAAATAAAATTTAAAGATTGACTCAGGTTTTTAAGCATGTAAGTACATGCTTGTCTGATGGCTTTCAAATCTTTCATCATATGCTGCCACTCCTGTTAGATCTTATGCTTTCACATTGCTCTGGCCCGCCCATCTATCTACTATAGATAGTAGAAAATGAATTCAAGTTTAGGCCCAAATGCTATTCAGAGGCCAATTGATGAAAATTCTAAGGAAGAGATTTTAGGAGAAAAAGTCTTCTGCCTATTTATAAGTTTAGAGGAAGGAATTAGCAATGAAAGAGAAGTTGAAGATGTAAAAGAGAAAGGAAAGATGAGAGAAAGAAAACTTTAAAACAAATCTGGAGCCAGGCACGATGGCTCATGCCTATAATCCCAGCACTTTGGGAGGCAGAGGTGGGCGGATCACTCCCTGAGGTGAGACTAGCCTGATCAACATGGAGAAACTCCATCTGTACTAAAAATACAAAATTAGCCAGGTGTGGTGGCACATGCCTGTAATCCCAGCTACTCGGGAGGCTGAGGCAGGAGAATTACTTGAATCCAGGAGGCGGAGGTTGTGGTGAGCCAAGATTGCGCCATTACACTCCAGCCTGGGCAACAAGAGTGAAACTCAATCTCAAAAAAAAAAAAACCTCAAAAAACAAAAACACAAATTTGGAAAGGATTATAGTTTGCTTATATAGTCTAGGTCCCTTCTTTATTGTATATTATATTAAGACCTTGTAAATATTAAGGCATGTTTTTGGGTTATTCTTGTGACTAGATTTATACTTTATAAAGATGTATGGAGGGTACATCAGAACAAACTTGAGTTAAGGAGACGAGTTAAGAAACTGTTTTAAGAACCCCTTCTCCCAGTCTGTGGGATATAGACTTGAATATTATGTAGTGGAAAAGAAGAGGAAAGACCAAAATCATGAGTTATTTAGGACACAGAATCCATATGATTTGGGAACTGATACTGTGGTATGAAGGTAAGAGTGTGAGACAGAATGACTCTTGGCTTTCTGAGTGGTGACTAAATAGATTGTGGAGTTATTGAACCAAGAGGAAGGAAATGATTCATGGAGAAGCTAACAATTTACATTTTTGGCACATTGAGTTTATATTTTCTGGGGGACATTAAACTGGAGATTTCTGAGTGGCATAAGTACTTGTATCTAACAGTCAGGCAAGGGATCTAAGCTTACGGTGTAGTCGAAATTACTGCTTAACTCACTAGGAAAAATAGTTTAATGAGAAGAGAGTAGCACTGAGAGTAGAACATTGAGGAGTAGAGGAATAGACATTGAAGGAGTAGTGAAGAAAAAAAGATCCTTAGAAGGAAGGCTGAGAAAAGCAGTTAAAGAGGCAGGAACAAAACCAAGAGAGAGTAGCGTTAAACCAGAGGAAAGTAGGCGTTTCAACAAGTAAGTTGTTAATGTCAGAAATCAGAGAGAGATTAAGTACCATACTTAATCTCAGCAACAGTGTAGTTCATACTGAACTATAGTGTAATATTGAGAGCATATATTTTATGGAGCGGACAAAGGCTAATTCATAATATTCTCTTTCATTATGAGTATAGAAGTTTGGGAGCTGCAACTTCATGGTATTCCAATTTTAAAGATAATGTCTTAAGACTATCTAGTCAGGCATTAATTGATACCACAAAAATAGAAACTTCACGTTAATATAAAAATAGAAAATCATGCAGAGGTTTATGCGGCCATATTAATATTTAAATATGTTTATACTTTAAAATTAATTGTATTTGTCTTCTTTTTATTTTGAAGAGTTCATGTCTCTTGGCAGTATCAATTGGCTGGGAAGGAGGTGTCTATGTACAAACCTGTGGTCACACATTACATATAGATTGTCATAAATCTTATATGGAATCATTACGGGTAAGTTGCAAAAATTTTTTAAAGTTGCATGTGTCTTTCCAGGTATTAAATCTTTGTATAGTATATACATCCCAATTCCAGCTCATCTTTTTAGGTGGTTTTGATCATCGTGTAAACTATCCAGTCTCACTTTAACACAGACCTGTTCAACTTCAAGGATTTTAATTTTAAATTTCATTTTAGCAGCTGGCTGAATGCAGTGGCTCATGCCTGTAATCCCAGCACTTTGGGAGGCCGAGGTGGACAGATCACTTGAGGTTGGGAGTTCGAGACCAGCCTGGCCAATGTGGCCACCTGGCCAACCTGGCAAAACCCTGTCTCTACTAAAAATACAAAAATTAGCTGGGCATGGTGGTGTGCACTTGTAATCCAAGCTACTCGGAAGGCTGAGGCAGGAGAATCACTTGACTCTGTGAGGCAGAGGTTGCAGTGAACTGAGATTGCACCACTGCCCTCCAACCTGGGCAACAGAGCAAGACTCCATCTCAAAAAAAAAAAAAAAAAAAAAAAGAAAAATTTTTTTCACTTCAGCAACTGACTTCCATGGCTGTACTTTAGCCTCTGCTACTCTCTCTGAAATATTAAGCTTTAATATCCTACCATATCATCTTACGATTATCACATAAGTTCTCTTGTCTTCACTCTCATTATTGTGATTTGCCTCTGACATCGAGATCTATAGTCCTTTAACCCTTTGAATTTTTTCCTAGTGTATTAGCTGTTTGCTATCCTCTCTTTCTTGTACTATACCCATTCTGTTCTTGTGAATCTCATTTAATCAACCTCCTTTGACTTTAGACCCAGTCAGCTATCCCAGCTAGAAAAGTCATAAAACTAGGTGAATGGTTATTATCACAAACTTGTGGCTTCCTATAACAGTGGCTTAGACTAGAGTTATGGGCTGTAAATACTACCTATTAATTCATTTACCTGTCTTTGATCAGTTCCTTCTCCTGTTTTCCTCAGCAGCTATTCCAAACCTTTGCCTCCCCAAGATTCATTTCCTCTTAATAGATTCGGTCTCTTCCTTTGTCATGAAGAAAACAGTGTCTGTTGTCACATTCTCTTAGATTCCTGTCTTGCTTTTCTATTCCCTGATAAATGAGTCCAACATCCCAACCAGTCTTTTCTTTGCTACTCTTTGAGGTAGTACTATAGCCTCTCTTCTGTTCAGGAATAACTTTTCTGCCTGAGCTCTGGTAGACCTTTCTCCCCAACACCTCAGGGGCCTTGATTCATCAGTAGGTAACCTCTTTTTCTTCTGTATTTTCAGTTTTTCTGCCTCTTCTGCCCCTTCTCAGCTCATCAGGAGCTGAGTTCAAACCTCTCCCATTCAGAATCCTTCCCTGGACATTACATTTTCTTATTTTCCTATAGCTGAAGACTTCTCTTTCTCCTTCAGTGTAACTTTTATTTTATTTATTTATTTTTTTTGAGATGGGGTCTCACTCTGTTTCTCAGGATGGAGTGCAGTGGCTAGATCATAGCTCAATGAAGCCTTACACTCCTGAGTTCAAGCAGTGCAACTTCTTAAAAGCAACTTCTTAAATACAGATCTACTATATTCCCATATTCCTAACTCAGAAGCAGTAGATATCTCTTTTTTCCTTCCTGTTCTTCACCTCTCACTTTCAGTCCCTTACCAAAATTCTATTGATTCTGCCTTCTAAACCTCACTTGACTATATTCTACCTTCATTAATCCCACTGCTACTTTTTTGTGTATGCCTTCCTTGCTCATCTTGATTATAGGAATTGCTTTCTTATTGATTTCCTTACTCCAGGTGTAATTTATTTATTACATTGAGCTTTCTAAAATTTAAATCGACAATATGTGTGGTTGGCTTAAAATCTCTTGCTGTCTTCCTCCTGATAGGATAAAGTTCACTATTCTCTGAATGGCATTCAGGTACTCCAGGATCTGGACTTGCCTATTGCTTTAGTGTTGTCTTCCATCAATTCAACATTAATAAGCTAATTACCAGTTCCTTAAGCACATTATGCATTTTTCATATCCCTGTATTCAAGTATTCTTTCAGTAAATATTTATTCAGTATCTATAGTGTTCCAGATACTGTGATAATCATTGTGGATACAATGGTACATAAGGCACAGTTCCTTCCCTCAATGAGTTTAATATGTATTACGTAAGAGAGACAAGTAAACAGTTACAGTATGCGTGCTAAATGTTAGGTATACACAGAGTCTTACTGGAACATCTGCCAGGTGCCAGAACATTTTGATGGAGTAAGGCGCTTGAGTGATGAGAGATGAGACAGAATGAGTAATTAAGGTTTACATTGTAAGGGACCTTCTGGTCCATTTAAAGAATTTGGACTTTATATAGATTCCTTAGAGAAAGCCATTAAAGACTTAAGCAGAAATATAAAATGTCCAGAAGAGTCATTGTGACAGTTGTGTAGAAGGGGGATTGCAGAAAAGTAAGAAAGAATGTGGTAGGGGCTTGGACTTACTCATGTCTATGAAAATGGAGAAGAGAATATAGATTTGAAATATATTTAGAAGGACAGTCTTGTGGAGCATGAGGGGGAAGAAGGAATCAAGGTGGGAGGTGATGATGACACTGAAAGATTTTGATTGGAAATAACAAAGTCTCAAATTAGACATTAGACACTAGACGCATTAGGTCATTTAGTGGTATGTTTGGGAGACTACTTAGGAGAGAAATTAGTAAAGGGGACAGAAAGAAGAAAGTAGATGGAAGGATTGATGGGGTTAATTAATTATATATTTGTGATGGGAGATGGGCAGGATATGGAAGGAGTTGCTATGAGGCTCTTCTCTCTGAGATACGAGGTGTAACCTTATGCTCCTAGAGTAAAGGGAACAGGGGTGGGGAAGGTGAGTGACTTGGCAGGTGAGGAGGTGGTTTGAAAAACCACTTTGGGGGCCAGGTATGGTGGCTCATGCCTGTAATTTCAGCACTTTGGGAGGCCAAGGCGTGCTGATCACCTGAGGTCAGGAGTTTGAGATCAGCCTGGCCAACATGGCGAAACCCCATCTCTACTGAAAATACAAAAATTAGTTGGGCATGGTGGCGAGCCCCTGTAATCCCAGCTACTCGGGAGGTTGAGGCAGGAGAATTGCTTAAACCTGGGAGGCGGAGGTTGCAGTGAACTGAGATTGCGCCATTGCACTCCAGCCTGGGCAACAAAAGCAAAACTCCATCTCAAAAAATAAAAAAATAAATAAAAAATAAATAAAAACAGAAAAACCACTCTGGGATTGGATGAGAGAGTGCTTCCTAGGATGTGGAGAAAGTGCCAGGCAGTATGCAGGACAAAGTTGAGGTTGGAAACAGTTTGTAGCAAGAAGGCATTTCATTTTTCTCTGACAACACTCAGTTTGAGTGCAGAATTGGAGAAGGCATACATTGGATTAATTTAGTATGAAGGCTTTGTTTGGTGTGAATGATGAAAGGACACATGGAGGGCAAGTGGGAAGTATTGCCATGAGTTTTTGAAGTGGTAGACAATGGTGTGCAGATGGGATAGGAAAAACCTGATGAACTAGGAGAAAAAGAAGGGAAATAAAGGAGGTGGAAGTTGGTAGTCAGAATATATAAGATGTTTAGATTTAATATTTTCAGATCACGAGTAATTTTGAGTTATTACAGGACAAGAATATTGTTATGGTAACAGGTGCTGGAGTAGAGTGAAGGCCAAAACTATAGGCGCTGATGAGGTTAAGGAGCTGAAGGACTGAGGTATAAGATTGGTTGTATACATATATAGTGAAACTGCATAGGAAGATGCAGGACTTGGAGTGATGAGGAAAACTTATCAAGGTACCAAAGTCTTCAGTGGTTGCGGGCAGTAGGTGGCAGTGAAAAGGAAGGAAAAGGATAGTATTGCTAAATGACATGAGCCACAAATACAAGGGAATGCAAGAGTAATGATCTCGGGCCAGCACCAGAGGGTGCTGAGATGTGAGAGATGTAGGAAGGTGAGTTGAGAGGGTTTCTGGGGGTGCTTCAGTAGAGAACCTAGCTTCAGTTATAGCAAAAAAGAGTATCTAGCATTCTTTAGAATTAAGGCTGCCAAGAAGCTTATCACAGAATGTTCTGTGATCAGGACCATTGCCCCAATTTTTAGCACTCTCTTTTTTGTGTATTTTTTAAAACTTAGCTCACAAATCTTCTCTGGGAAGGCTTCTCTGTTGTTGCATTTATCGCACTATAATTTATTTGCCTGATTTTGCTTTTAAATTGTGAGCACCTTAAGAAGGAAAAATGTATCTTAACTCTTTATGCTATCACCTCGCACAGCATTTATCACATAGTAGGAGCTTAGTAAATGTTTGTAGAATTGGATTTAGGAAGATATGTTGTTACATTTTTAAGGACTTAAAAAGTTAATGTCAAAAAGTGAAAAATAGAATTCATAGTTCTCTTAGTCAAAGTACTTGAGATGCAAGATATAATGAAATGAGCACTAACTCAGTTGTCTAATCAGTTGTATTTAGCAGTTAGACACCTTAGAAGTTACTTTTTTGAGGCTTATTTGCTCTCAAAAGCTATTTATCCTAGATCAAGGAACATGAGCATTGGGATAATCTTCCCAGTAGTCAGTTACAGATTATGAAAACAGGGGTGTGGGGTAAGAGGAGGGTGACCCACTTTAATGTGACCTGTTTTTTGAACTATTGTTTATCTTAAATCCACATTTCAGATTAATTGCATAATCACTTGAATGTTTCATACTGAGAGAAGAGTAAGATACTTAAACAGTGTTTTGGTGAGGGCAAGTGTTATGTAATTGCTGTGATGTAAGAAGTGATTTGGTGAACTTTAACAGTTAAATGAAGGATTTTGTTTATTTCTTTATGACATATTAGAGATGTCTTTTTTTGTATGGTTTATTAATTTACTATAAAATGGGTGGTATAATTTTTGTTTTCTGTAAATGTGTGTATCATGCATCTGTATGTTTATTTCATCTTTTAGAATGATCAGGTTCTTCAGGGCTTCTCAGTGGACAAAGGAGAATTCACGTGTCCCCTCTGTAGGCAGTTTGCTAACAGTGTTCTTCCATGTTATCCTGGAAGCAATGTGGAAAATAACCCTTGGCAACGTCCTAGCAACAAAAGCATACAAGATCTCATAAAGGAAGTGGAGGAGCTGCAGGGACGACCGGGAGCTTTCCCAGTAAGCATCAGTGTAAGGCATAAATATCCTGGTTAACTCAGCTCTGATTTTCTGCTTTCATTTTCATTCAGTTTATAAATTACTCTGGACTTTTACATATTTAGTAGAAATTGCTTTTAGAGGTTTTGTTCTCTTCTATTTATATTTAAATAAAAGTAATAGAACAAATTATTATCAAAGGCTATACTTCTCTTTAGGCTAAATTCTTAGTTTTAATATACATCTTCTAGGTCAAGAACCCCTATAGGTTTAGATATAGTTAGGCTCTTTTAAGATGTTGAAGGAGGCCAGTCGTGGTGGCTCAGACCTGTAATCCCAGCACTTTGGGAGGCTGAGGCTGACAGATAACTTAAAGTCAGGAGTTTGAGACCAACCTGGCCAACATGGCAAAACCCCATCTCTACTAAAAATACAAAAATTAGCCAGGCATGGTGGCGCTGAGGCAGATGGATCACTTAAGGGCAGGAGTTTGAAACCAGCCTGACCAACATGGCAAAACCCCATCTCTACTAGAAATACAAAAATTAGCTGGGTACGGTGGCACACACCTGTAATCCCAGCTACTCGGGAGGCTGAGGCAGGAGAATTGCTTGACCCCCGGAGCCAGAGGTTGCAGTGAGCTGAGGTCGCCACTGCACTCCAGCCTGGGCAGCAGAGCGAGACTCCTTCTCAAAAAAAAAAAAAAAAGGTTGAAGTATTTAAAAGCAAACACACAAGCTATATATACTCTGTGTGTGTGTGTATCTCAATATAAAGCACAATTTAATCACTTAAAAATATGCCCATTAGGTATATTAGGATTAAGAAGATATATTTACACAGATATGCACATGTATTTGTGTGTATGTGTATTCGAGAGATAAAATATTGTGTAATTGATTGAACTGTTCATCACAAGTCAGACTACTGTAGCGGGGAACTCATCTTTTATGCCATCCAGTAGGGTTTGTTTGTTTTAAATTCTTAAAATATTTCACCTTCATTATAGATTTATTATATGGTCTCTGAGAGAAGTGACAGTTGTGTCTGGTTTATGTGGTAAATTTGTGAAAACTGTAAATATGTGACTTTTGAAACAGAAATGCATACTTTAAACCTAGGTAGAGTCATCTGTCAATTCCCTTTCTCAAGCGAAGACTAATTTTAGAATTTGTGGTCTTTTTTAAATTTTATAAACCCTAATTCTTGTGTGTTTAAAATATGCTTAAACTTATGGGACATTGATATAATTCTTTGAAAAATGAACTTAAATGAAAGTCAGGTTTTTTATAGACATGGAAACTTTGTTCTAACATATTATTTTAATACCATCATCTCATTGGCTTAGAATAATTTATGTGGTTAATTCATAGTTGGATTACAGTGTTACCAGTCACAATGTAGAATTAAAGATCACTGTTTAAGAGAGTATTTTTTGACTGGTTTTATCTTTGTATACTAAATATATTTATAATAGATAATGTTCTATCTGTTTTGACTTTTTAATTTTAATTTCCTATGTTTATATAATAAACATTTTAGTTTTAGACCAGTATTAAAGAAAGTGAATATAAACTTTATATATATGTTTGCATTGTTTTATAGTCAGAAACAAATTTAAGTAAAGAAATGGAATCTGTAATGAAAGATATAAAAAATACCACTCAGAAGAAATATAGAGACTATAGCAAGACCCCGGGCTCACCAGACAATGATTTTCTCTTTATGTACTCTGTTGCTAGGTAGGTATATATAGTATATACTCTTTAGTTTACTTATTATTAATAGTTGATTTTATTATTTAATAAATATTTGTTTTATTAATTTAAAGGTTGCATATTTTTAATATCAGTTGAAATTATGGCTAGTTTTAGTGCCTCCTAGGATAACTATAAGTGTGTAGCTTTCTTTTATTTCCTGAAGAGGTTTTATTTTAATGAAATATTTGCATATATGTTACTAAGCATTAATAGTACATGGGGCAAAAGTATGTTACTAACATTTTGGGACAGATATATACCTTGAAGCATGTATTATATAAGAGACCTGTCAAAAAGTGGTAATAGTGAGAACTAAAACGTTGTAATATGTTAAACCCTTCGATTTATGGAAAAATAAGAACAGTAAGGAGTAGAAGAACTTTGTTTTAAATAGAAACTGGAAAGATCTAGCGATAGCCTAAAAGACAGGAGTTTAGAAAAATCAGATAAGGGAGAGGAAGCAAGGGATCAGGCATGTTCTAAACCTCAATTTGTAGTAAGTAAGGGGCTCAAGAAAGCTGTTAGAAGTAAATGTTTCTCATCTTTCAGATTAGGAAGGATTAGTGTAATTGTATGCAATACAGAAGCAGTAGTTCTAAATGGGAATTTTGGAAAACTTGAGTGAAAATGCAGAACCATAAAAGAAGTAAATAGAGGAGAAGCAGACACAACTAAGAACTTGTAAATGCATTCTGCCAAAACTGACTCTGTACATCCTTGAATATCTCTGGAAGCGTACTTCATGTTTTATCTAAGTATTAGGTAAGATTTAGAGAGATAATGTGACTTGAAGTCATACAGCAAGTTAGTGGCAGAGTAGGATCTCTTGAGTCAAGGTTTAGTGTTTTTTTCAATTTGCTACCTTCGTTTTTCCTTTCCTATGTTTAGCTTTTATAAGTTGTATTATGTATATAGTTAATCATGGCTATTCTCTCTGGCCCACTCCTGGAACAGAGGGTAACGAAAGAGTAAATGAACTATACATAGCCTTTGGAACCCAGGAGAAGTGGAACCAGACTTAGAAAAATTGCAGCAAGCAAATTAGAGCTCAAGATAAGGAGCATTAGTTGGTCTGAGAATGCAAATACTGGACATGGGTTGATGTAAAAGGATCTAATGGATTGGAAAGTAACTTTGTAGTTTGTATATTCCTAGCCTCTTGTTTATCTAGAATGTTTCTGGGGAAGACATAACAATTTGGTATCTTGTTTCTGAAGAGTTACTAGTTACTACATTCTTGCAATAAAAGATACTTTATGTGAAAACAAAACTGAATATAATTTAACTTTGCCAGGGTGCCAAGGTTTTACAGAACTTCCATATGATACTGTGATTATAACATTGTAGGCGATTGGGTTGAATATGGATCAACTCAGTTCTGCTATACATATTTATACACGTACATGATCACAGACCTACACACATTTATGTTACTCATGTATTTATGCCTTTAATTTTATTAGAGTTGACCTTTTAAGAAAATCTTTATTGAATGGGAATAATCTGTACTTGGAATTTTCCCGTAGTATGATAAATCAAACAATTTGATTTAAATATAATTTAGTGGAAGTTTTAGATCCTCATTTCTTGGTTTAAGTTTATAAGTAACTTAGAGAAAAAAGCTTGCAATAATAATGGGAGACCTTCTGGATCAAGACATTTTGGTTTCTCTATTTTTTAGAGAAGCAGAAACAGATGTCAAATACTTTACTAAGGTGTAGACAGAGAAACAGAGAAAATATACTTCCCCCATCCTTTTCTGAAACTTAATGATAAGCTCTAAAGCAGCAAAACAGTAATTCTGAAAATGAGTGTATGTAACACTTTAAAACTTTATTATCCTTTGCTTGGAATTCCCCAAAATATTGCAAAGCTCTTCCAGTGAGGCGACATTCCTTCTCTAAGTTTTACTTAGTCATTACAAAGAAAACGAAGGCTGGGCATGGTGGCTCACACCATAATCTCAGCACTTTGAGAGACCAAGGAGGATTGCTTGAGACCAGGAGTTTGAGACCAGCCTGGACAACATAGTAAAACCCTATCTCTATGAAAAATAATAATAAAAAAAAATTAGCTAGGTTTGGTGGCACACATCTGTAGTCCCAGCTACTTGGGAGGCTGAGATGGGTTGATTGCTTGAGCTACAAGAGATGGGAGGTCAAGGCTATAGTGAGCTGTGATCGAGCCACTGCACTTCAACTTGGGCAACAGAGCAAAACCCTGTCTAAAAAAAATAAAAAATAAGAGAAACAAATTGACTCACAAATTTACATGTATTGAAGGAAAAAAGTATATTGTATTCTGTTTAAATAGGTTGTAATTTTCTCAAAACAGGAAACCAGGCTTTTTATGTGTAACATATAACTTATTTATGCATAACATATAACATTTATTCCTAAAAGGTGAACATTAAAATATTTAGCAATATTTAAACATTTAAAATATTTAACAATAAACTTACTTTGAATTAAGTTTTGAATTAAATGTAGTGATTTTAAAAGGTATAATTCATTAGAATTTGCACGTTTATTTGTATTTAGTATTAGTAATGTGAGTAGAATACAACCCTCATTTCTTAGAGCTGAATTTCTCCCTGCTGAATAAGTAATTTTGTTTGCTCTTCAGAGAGTTTGAATTTTGGATATTTAGAAGCAAAGTGTTTCTGGTGAGTTTTAGAGTTTTTTGTTTTTTGGTTTTTTTTGTAAGACAGTACATGTCTTTTGTTTTTAAATTTTATTTGCATGGTGAAGCCTTGGAGAATTTTCTGAGGGTATCAGAGAAGCAACTGTTGGAAAATCCATTCAAATTTAAAATAATTTAAAAATTAATCAAAATTTTTACATTCAAGTTTTAATGTATTTCCAAAATTTTCGTTCTATTGCAAATGTCAGTCATCTAAACAGATAATGGAAAGCTAATTTGGGGGAAGAAAGTTTTCTTTTTTTAATACCAGTTCATTATTTTGTTCTTGAAACAATGAATGACACGAATTTCAGTAACTGATTTTTCCAAGGATTTTGGACTCAAATTTCATATAATCAAAAGGTATTGGTGAGTAGCAGGTGGTTTGTATAGAGAAAAATGGAAAGAAAATGAAACGTAAGTAACTGCAATGTAGGTGGAGAGACATTTTTAAATCGTGGTTACTCAATAGAGGCAATGTACCTTCATAGGTTAGTTACTTTGTAAACTAAGTATGTTCAAAATAAAAGGGATGCTTGCTAAATACCAAATTATGAATCCTTTTAAAAAACAGAAAATTCTTTCCTAAAACAATCCTTTTTTTGGGGCTTGGACGAGGGTCACTACTGGGTTTAAGGGAATGGAAGAGTTAGGAAAAGAAAGAAAATAAACTGCAGGGACTAACGAGAATCTTATAATTGGTTACATATCAAAAAAAAGATGTCATT